GTTTGCTCCTACAGCTATAACAACCGGGCGTTCTATTCGGGTGAAGATGGTAGCAATCAGGAGAGTTGTGCATACGATCACTGTCAGTCTGTCATTATGGTCTCATGTAGGTAAGCAACTCAGGCAGCGGAGCACTTTTGCCTACCAAATGTCATTTTTTTATAGGTGGGCCCAGCACCATGCTGTCATTACAAATACAAGTCTTTTGAAACAAACAACAACGACAACAGAGGCAGTTTGCAGGGGGGGTAAGGGGTGTAGCAGAACATAGTTTAGAAACTGTTTCCAAACCCTCCTAGTAGCAGTAGTAACCATTGAGATCTGTGTATACTATCACCTCTGAGCCCCCTAAGCTGTCATGTAGGCAGAAAACTTTGTCAGCCGTGTAGAGCTGTATTTGCCAAATTTCATTATGTGTAGGTAAGCTCCGCAGCTTCCACTCATTACACTTTCAAGTCTGTTCAAGTAAAAAACTACAACGTCCAGGGATGCTGGTTCCTCTTTCCAGCAGGTGCTACTCCCCACCAATAGATGGAGCCCCCCTGGGAGTGCTAGTGGTGCTTGCTCTTACCAAGCACCCCTCGCATCCACCCGGGCTGTTTTTTTTTTTTTTTTTTTTTTTTTTTTTTTTTTTTTTTTTTTTACAAGTCCCAAAACAATGTCCGAGTTCGACCTGCTCATCAGGAGGCTGAAAGATTGACAATCTGAGGAATCCCGGTATTGATGCTTTGGGTCATGAACCCTTGTTGAAAGCAGACTGTCCACAAGCGGAACACAGCAGCAGGCAACAACTCAGCGAAGCACCAGGCAACGGTGCGGGACCAACCCAACTGCACAACACATTCATACGATCTGCATGATTGACAGTGCAAGAGGACAAGCAGCATGGCAACAGTGCAGCCAAGCACAAGGCAACGCCAATAAAGCAACCAAACTACACTGCACACAAGCAAAGAGTGCGGAAGGCAAGACATGCGATGGGCAGCAAGGCCGCCACACAGTGAAGCACAAGGCAACAACAACAATGCAGCCACACCACACAGCAAACACAGCAGCTGCAAAGAGCTACCTGTGAAGCAAGCGGGGCAGGCAGCACGGCAACAGCAGAGCGCAGAAGAGTCAGTCAGTCTACACATCCAACACGGAGCAAAGCGGCACATCACCTTCTCACTTCACAAATGAACCCCACAGAGTGTTGGTTCCCACTACCTGCTAAGCCAGGAAGCCACTCCGACAGACATCCATCATCACCCATAGATCATGTGCACCACTGACATCACAAGCATAGCAGTCCCCCTAAAAGTCCTGCCGGCATTCCAAACACCCAACGACCGACTGCTTAGCACACCTTGAAGGTGCTCACACAGACCCACAGAAAGTATGAAAAACATGGGGAGAACCGACAGACAAGCACCCAACCGCTGATGTGAGGCATTGTGAGCTGCTTCAGAATCTCACCTGTAACCCTCCTAGCCACTTCTCTTTTTTTTTTTTTTTTTTTTTTTTTTTTTTTCATGAATGGAGTGTTGGAGGGGTACAGGCGAGAAACAGCTCAGGCAATCAGTGGCAATACACGGTGTTCCCAGGCAGTTTGCAACCGACTGCTGTTCACTGGATCTCCGCTATGCGCCTCTCCAGCAACCTATAAACTGAATGCGCAACACCACCTACAACAGAATCGGCAGGGCTTACCACAACTGCTACACCAATTACAACAACCATAACCACGACAACTGGGCCCTGCATGCATCTGGATGATATCCTAGGAGACAGGGTTGTCTCACAATCTAACGACGATTTCACTCACAACAGCATCAAGGATGAGACGTGTAAATCCATATATGCTCGACTTTGAAACTTTTGGGGGAACAAAAAAAACATGATGGCTTGTTGGAAAAGAAAGGTACATCATTAAATCTGAGCGACTGTCAGCAGTGACTATGGACTATAGTGCAGAATCAGATTCTGCAGATAGCGTCCCCACTTCGGCGTGTAATTCCCTATCCACGTGGACACTGCTGACTAAGGTCAACTTCGGCTGGATAAGATCATCAACGGTGAACACATTTGTTGGATGTAAAATTGCAGAAATACACCTTACGTTTGTTAATCTTTCCGGGATCAGACAGACGTACCAACCTCCACAACAAATTTTCATCATTTATAGAATTACCTTTTTGATTGCAACAATACCCAACTTTTTTTTTTTTTTTCCAAAGCTATATTCTTCTCTCAATTTCACCACCTCACACTACCTACACTTTCACGACGCGAACACCTTTTTGAAACGCATAACGTCGTCAGCATGAGAGTACCACCCGTTTTTCCTTGAATATTAAGATGTACGGTCGTTATGCATGAATAAGAGTACCACCCGTTTTTTCCTGAATAAGATGTACGGCTATAAACAATAGTACCTCTTTCCTATTCGCGACTCCATTCATGTAGTGGTTTCATGCATTACAGATACGCCATTAAAAAAAAAAAAAGAAACAACGGCGGACGCGGCACGGTTTGAGTTCGAATAGGCAAAGAAAACACGAAATGGCACTGCAGGAACGGGCACAGTTCGAAAAGGTAAGAAAAACAGGAGCAAGCGGTAATGCCAGACTCCCAGTTTGAAAAAGGGTTAATGACAGCGCCAGGGCCAACGCGGTCCCAGGCCGTCCATTCCCGTTGTAGGCCGGTTCTAGGCCGGTTCTAGGCCGTCCCGGCCGGCCCTTCCCATCCCGTCCCAGCTCCTTCTCTGGCCGTTACTGTGCCCCTCTCGCGTCTCCCTCCCTCCCGCGTCTGTCTCCCTCCGACGTCGTAGGCCGCCCTAGGCCGTCCCGTCCCCCGCTGCCATGTGCTCTCTTTGTTATGTGACGTGGCAGCGTGTGCGACCTTGCTCCTACGCGCCAACGGTGACCTCTTTCGTGTGTGTGTGTGTGTGTGTGTGTGTGAGAGAGAGAGAGAGAGAGAGAGAGAGAGAGAGAGAGAGACAGATCGTTTCCAAATGAGTATTGCCCAGAGAGAGAGAGAGAGAGAGAGAGATCGTTTCCAAATGAGTATTGCCATATTTCTGCTCTGGATACAGCGCAGGATATAGCGCAGAAATATGGCCAAATTCATTCAGAGAAGGCCTCTGCCATATTTCTGGGGTGGATTCAGCGCAGAAATATGGCAATATTCATTTGAAAAATCTCTCTCTCTCTCTCTCTCTCTCTCTCTCTCTCTCTCTCTCTCTCTCTCTCTCTCTCTCTCT